AAAAAAAAAAAAAAAAAAAACTGGAAGTTTTACTTGTAATTAAATAATGGATAAACGTAAGATATAAGATACATGAAATATTACATGAAAGATTGGAATGTCTTTTTTTTCTTTTGAAAGAAAATAATAACGCCAAATCTTGTCTGATAGTCTGATTTCAATTTTGCTATCAAATACGTTTAAAAAACTTTATATATAACAGTTATAAACAGCTTTTCATTTCTAAATCTTGTTTTTTTACAAACAAATTTTAATTGAAAAAAAAAATGTATACGTACTGTATATAATTGAATGGGTCTTCAATAAAAATTATATTTTAGCTGCTTATTATTATATAGAAAAAAAATTGTATAATTTAACAGAATTTGCTATCTAATTTGAAAAACTTAAAGGATGGAAAAACGATGTGAATTATCAAGGAATAGGGGGGGGAGGTATACTGATTCACCTCTCATTACAGTTTGAAACGTAATTGAGTAATTACAAAATAATTCGATAATTATATAATTTAATAAAATTAAATACTCTTGATCAATTTTGTAATCGTCAATTCTATATAATCGTGATCAATGTAACAGGCTATTTCTATCATCTTTGTAATAAAACTTTTATTATGATTTGCATTGCATATAAAAACAGCACATACCTTGCAGCAGAAATGATTTATTTTTTATTCTTGCATTATTTGCAATTTAGTAAATATCAACGCATGACGACTAATTAGCGTGGACGCTGACGCGGGTATAAGTTTTGTGTGAATCGCAAGCTAGAAATGTGATTTGTGCGCATCCGTGCGACTATCGCGTTACAAAACGGAAACTTACTCGCGATAAGAGTCCGGCACTCGTCTAAGAATCACGTACGGCTTGATGATTAATTGCATTAGTCCTCGGCGTGTCGCCCATCTTGACAGTCCTAGCTCCCGCAGATCATTTTCCAGCTGAAACAATTGTTTACTTCATAATCAGACTTTTCAGCTTGAGTTTACGAAATTCCACATTGTCGAATTCAATATTGCGTTCAAGATTTTCTTCTGTGAATTTTCACGAGAAGGATAAGATCTCCATCGCTTAACTTCATCGTCAATCACTTACTAAGGTAAAGTGAGAGAATAAGGATCGATTGCCCGATCTTTCGACAAATATCCATTTATTTCACTCCTTCTCACGTTCTCTTTTCCCACTCACAGCTTTACGTAATAAATTTATTAATTATAAAAGTTTGGAACAACCGGCCTCTCTAAGCGACAAAGTA